AACCAAGTTTATTTCATATCAAAAATGACAAACACAAAGAAAATAAATGATTCATTAACCAAACAATGTGATACAGAACATATGCAATGATATATAGTAATGTTTATACATTTCTAAGGACATTCAAACAAAAATGTAACCAATATACTGCAAAATATTACTGTTGAAAATGTCGGAAAAACACAAGACTAGTTTAAAATAATCAATGCAGCGTCTGCTGTTTATTAGATAAGCCACATGCATTATGATCCCTCAATACAATCATATTCCGATTAGAACTGCATTCAAAACTATTGAGCCAATATTTTCAGCTTCTATGGCTGAAACATTTTCACATGAGCTTCCAACAATGAGTGAAACAGTAAGATCATGTGGAGAGTTTTGAAGCATCCAACATTTGGATTCATTTTAATGAGCTCAGACTTGTTGAAAATGCAGAGGAGCTGGTTGTGAACTGAGCTTCAGAGAAACACAACATACTGAGATTCACTGTGAAGCTTTGAGTGGAAAAAGACAGAAAAACAACATGTGGATCCTGGAATAATGGGAGCTTCCATCTTTAAAGGAACGAAGAGGAAGAAGTTCACAAGGAATCATTTAGAAAAGTTTAAAACTGATTGAATCCATGAATCTGAAAACATGTTTCTGAGTGAAAGAGACAGACATGTACAGACTGAACTATCTGTTCAACAGTCAGAGTGTTTCTCTAACAGGAGGACACTCTTTACACCCCACTCAGCACAGGGACACTGAGGAATCATAGCCAAATGCAAATCCAGGATAAAGAGGTTCAGTGAATGTGGTGTTGAAGGTGTGGAGGTGGATCAGAGTGTCAGAGGAGACTCTGTAGAAGGACAGAGTGCCAGCAGGACAGTCCACATACACTGCTGCTCTGTTAGAGGCAGAGGAGGAGGAGGAGATGGTTGTTTGTCTGTTATTATGACAGACAGAATGAGGACCAAAAGCTGAGCACCTCAGACTCCAGGAATGAGCATTGTATCCAAGCACAGAGTCAATACCCTTTCCTTTCCTTATTATTCTTCTGTAACTCACTGATATATGAACCCATCTGCTCCACTCGACCTCCCAGTAACAGCGACCAGTTAGACTATTTTCACACAGCAGCTGTGGATGCCAATTAAATCTGTCTGGATGATCAGGATATGAAAAAGTCTTCCACACACGTGTCACCTTCGTGTCGTCGTCAGACAGTTTGAGCCATCTGTGAACTGTGTTTGTGTCGATTGTGAGTTGACAGGAATCTGATGGAGAGAACAAACACAATCCAGCTGCAGTTATTGATCCATCATCTGTTCATTGATTGACACTTTGATGATGACTCTTGACATCAGAGATGTGAATGAATGATGTGACAGTTTGAAGATGGTTGAATGTGTGCTGCTTTGTTTTCATGAATCCCATTAAAAACACACTTACACTTCCTCAGACCTGGTGTCAACCATTGGTCTCCAGCAGGCTCCACCCTGAAAGGAGGAGGGGGGGTCAGACCAGCACAGTCTCTTTCAGCATGCACACATGGACATTACATGGCTCTCATACACATACTGTTAGACACTGCTAAAGGAACATTTTCACAAATACACTTCAATCCATATGTGGATCAAACTGCTGATGATTTTGACTGATCCTGGATCTGTCAGTACACCACTGTATTGAATGAAATATGACTGATTCAAACTGTGACCGTCATTATCTTTATATTCCTTATCTGTTTAGCTGGAAAGGACACCCCCCTGCCTTTGCTGCTAGCTGTTTTTCTCATCTTGGTGTCAGTGTGGTTACTGTACATGACCTCTGAGTGCAGCATTGTTTTCATGCGCTACCAAAAAGGCACATGGTCCGCTTGAACATTTGGGAAAGCCGAGGGAAACTAGGGCTCAATTCTCTCAAAAATTGTCCAAGCTTGTCTGCTTTTCCACTCACCTCCCTGAACTTTGCTTTGAG